ATATGCACAAACTTGTTTCAATTTGACAGTCTAATTAATTACTTTAATTTTTTTTCAATCGTGTTCTTAATTGCATTAATCAAGAAAGCATGGTTTGCAAAAGCAGTAGCTGAGAGATTTGGAAAACCTAAGACTAATTCTAATTCTAATTAATTTAGACTGTCAAATTGAAACAAGTTTGTGACATATATTTCACGTTGTTCACAGATCCTGATTTACCAAATTCGGGAAAATTTATGCGTCGTCAACGATACATCATACATAACCAAAGTTATAATTTGTCTTAAACGTAATGCGAAATAGAAATTTTATTTGAGAAAAATGGTTCTATTTTTTAATTAAATAAGTTAAAAATGTTAACTTGATGAAGAAAAAAACCTTTCAAACTTTCAGAACTTTCATTGTATTACAGTGTAAAATCATTCCAAGCATCATATTTATCATCAGGATATTTAGATATGGCAGTATTCAATAATTAATAGAACATTAAGTCCAAATCGCGTAGCTTCGAAATAGCCAGGCCAAGACCCAATCTATTCTCGTTCTCTTGCAGAGCCGAGAGGGCGCCAGTGCGTCTAACTAACAATGACTGTCGAAGTCATTGGTTTAACAAACCGAATTTAAAATTTTTTATCCACCTTGGACTCTCTTCAAAGCGAATAAATCTTTCGCCTTTTACTAAAGATTTCCGTGGAGAGGGTCAATATAAATAGGTCTTTGAAGAATTTTTCTGAAGCCTTAAACTTCTGTTTAGGGCTGTTAAGCTAATTAAGATTAACTGTTATTTCGCTAATGTTTAGTGCTGGCCACGTGACCAGATTGGGCGATTTATTGAAAATTGGGCTACTTTTCGGATCACTGCCAGATTGGGCTAATTTTCGGATAGTTTTGCAAAAGTCGCCAAGCGACTTTTGGGCGATTTGAAACTGTTACATTTTAGGACTCTACAAATATGTATGATTATATTCTATTTATGCAAATATTTCAAAGTGAGACTAATACCAAGATTATTAATTTTGAATATAAACTACCGTCGTTCGGGGTGAAAAATAAGTATAATTTTGAGACAATTTTCAATAAAATAATCTTCCGAAGTCTTCCGTGTATCCTTTATCGAATTCCATGATCAAACACATTTTTTTTAGATATATCTGTAGTAAAGGCGGACGACCCTTTATAAAGCGTTAAAAATCGTGTTCTTCTGGTGAAATTAGACATAGTCCGCTATACTTGTTCATTTTGATTCCTTTTTTCTTATCGTGTAAGGCGAATTTTATAATTTTCAGCCGCAGTGTTAAACTTTTTCTACCCTGTCGAATATCTTCGAGTGCCCTAGCGACGTTTTCTTCATTATAGTTCTTAAAATTAATACCGACTCTTTTTATACTGTCTGTCGGAGACATTAGAGTATAATTTAAACCTTATCAATTGAATTCCAAGTCACTTCTAAAATCTCGGCAAGATAATTGACCGAAGGGCGATTTCTTCGGGTTGCGTTAGTCTAAAAATAGATTCTACCTAAGATCGGCTAACAATAAACCAGGAATCCCTAACTCCACGAAAAATGGGTCGTTTTGGGTCTTTTCGAACGACAAAATACAGTCGCATCTAGAGTCGCATACAAGACGTTGCATGAGCAGTTTCTCTGCAACGGGCGAATTTTAATATTACTTTAAAACACTAGACAATTCGTTTAGCCAGAGTCGCATACAAGACGTTGCATGAGCAGTTTCTCTGCAACGGGCAAAATTTTCTCATTTTTCATTACTTTAAAACACTAGACAATTCGTTTAGTCATCAATTAGCTAGCAATAACGATCTACGAAAGTATAATTGTGGTCAGTATAACATTGGGTAACCGACTACCTAAGTTCAAGTGTCAACCAGTGCAGTGAAACCACCAACCGGTAACCTTGCATTGCTGGGGGTGTGTGAGCTGCAGTGAATAGTGGGTATTCCCAAGTGAGTGCATCCTGATAGAGCCAAAAGGTGCAACGGGGTACAAGGGCCAAGTATTCCTCTACCCTTCACAACACGTGGCGCCAGCCAACCGCTGATGGAACGTTGAAGGTACCAACCAATCGTAAATCAAAGTTATACCCCCACAGGGTGCTCGGCATGGAGCAAACTAAGTTGCAATTTTTAGTTAAGAATTTAGATTAGACAGTATTTCTATCATTGTTAAGACCGCCAGAGCGTGTGATTGAGGAATGAATGCCCGAGCTTGATTTAATAGTTTTGAGTGTTGCCATTAAACATTTTTAATTACATGTGTTGATCAGCTATCACAGAGTTTTATTGTAGGAAGGATCAGCAAATCTCGAAAGAGGGTCAAATTTAAACATTGATTCTCTTTCCCGCGTTGGGTTGATCTTTCGTGAAAGATCGACCGAGTGTTAGTGACCGAAATGACCTCCTCACTATACACTGTCTAATCATGGTCTTCTTCACCTCTATAAAATGGCTTTTTACTAAAACACAATTATTTATGACAACAATCTAATCTAATCTATCATATCAATCTATCTAATGAAATTGCCATGGGATGTACTACTAATAGAGCACATCAGAAAAAATAACTCATTTGATTTTTTGTTTTTAGTATTTTCGTGTGTGTAAAATGTGATAAATCATTATCTCTTTAGACTTGGTTTTAAAAAGTTTTCTTAGGCATTAAAGTCTAAGGACATATGCATAATTTTTATAAAAGGTGCTTTTTTGACAGTATTGTGTTACAAAATGTGGTTATGCAAACATTTGTTGTGGTTAAATACTGAAACTGCCCTCTGAAATTAAGGAGTTTTTAGGCAACACGTTTTACGTTATCCGTTATTCTGAGCCAGCGCATTAGTAAATAAATAATCGTTTACGTTATTAGAGGATAACGTGTTCTTTATTTACGTACGAGTAGCGGTAACGTTGAAAATCAGAACGACGGTGTTGATATATTTGACTTATTTGTAATATTATTAATAAAATAAGCGGCTATTGATAAAAACATTTTTAACTTATTTAATTAAAAAATAGAACCATTTTTCTCAAATAAAATTTCGATTTCGCATTGCGTTTAAGACAAATTATAACTTTGGTTAATATGATGTATCGGTGACGACACACAATTTTTCCCGATTTTGGTAAATGAGGATATGTGAACAACGTGAAATATATGTACAATATATGTCACAAACTTGTTTCAATTTGACAGTCCAATTAATTACTTTAATTTTTTTTAAATCGCGTTCTTATGTTTTCCAAATCTCTTAGCTACTGTTTTTGCTAACCATGCTTTCTCAATTAATGTAATTCATCGAGTTTTTTTTCAAATACTTTTGAATGTGTCATTTTAATAATAATAAAAGAAATTTGTGAGTATTATGCCATTTACGCAAAGATGGACCGAGGTAGAAAGTCAGATTTACACAACTATTTAATCGCATAATTTTATGTATGGTCCATTGTACATTTGTAAACCAGATTAAAAAATCTGAAGTGGATACGTACTTATGTTTTGCAAGAAGTTTTATATTATTTACTGAAGAAACAATTAAAAAATATACTCTATCACTTTGAAAAATAATTATCTTTCATTCCTCAATCACTATCACTTTTTTTTATTTACCCCATGGGAACTATACAATCTGTATGCATAAGTGAAACTTATGGCAAACAGCAATACTTCCCATTTCTCAAATGCCGAATGATGCCGTTGGAGTAGGAATTCGACCACAAACAGGTAGATTACCATATCTAATGTCTTCTTCCGACTTCTAGGTATTGTATAACAGCGTAGCAGCCCATAAGAGTAATTGCAAATTAGAAAAAGCAACAGCGCTTTATCATGCCATCATTTGGACCAATCGCGACGTAGAATTTGACACAATCCGCAATTTTGCAACGGAAAACCAATTCCAACAAAATGGCCTTTTCAAGAATAACAAAGGTTTTTTAAAGCAAAAGCAAAGAATACGAAGTGGTTAAGTTGCCATAACGTATTCACATTTTGCAGAAAAAAAGTTTGTTAATAAACCTAAAAGTTTTTTGAATAGCAGAAAACAGCCCTGTGCTGTATCACTCACGTTAATTTTAACGTGCGTGTTATCCGTTAAACACGTTATGTGGCTCCAACTGGTGTGTTGTATCAGTAAAACCTTTATATTATAACAGGCGCACGCTATGGACGAACGTTGACCTGGACCAGGCAGCAGAAAGTCTCACCAGGGAAATTAAAAATGCCCTGGCAGCCTCAACAAGTCAAACCGTCGTACCGGCCAACCAAATAGACCAAATACCTCCCTGGTTAAAAGCCAAAATCAGGGAGAAAAACCGGATAGGACGCAGAGCCATGAGTACGCAAGATCCCTATCTAAAAAAGCAAGTCAACCGCCTCCAGACTGCGATCCGAGAAGACATGAAAGAACTCAGGTCGCAGATCTGGGATGCTACCATGGACGAAATTGAGGCTGAAGAGAACAACCAATCAATCTGGAAACTGGCCAGGAACCTCACCAAAGGACCAAAGAGACCAATGCCACCAATCCAAGAGGAGGAAGTGGACAAAATTGTATCCGCCCACTTCCAAAACTGGCAGACCACCAAAGCAAAACCAGTCACGAATGAGATCATCCAGGACATCATCCAGGGGACGAAGAAGAGAAAAGCCCCTGGACATGACGAAATCTCTAATGAGGTCCTCAAAAAGCTACCGAAAGCAGCAATTGA